ATCTTATTTAACCGAATGTTCCAGCCAATGCCGTGAAGAGTTGGAGTCACAGTCTTACGGCCAGCGTGTCTTATATTAGCTGCTAGAAGGAAGCCATATGAGTAAAAGCATTATAAGGGTAATGCTATATTTTGAGGGGCATTATCATTTGCAGAAGCCCAAGGTCTTCCATTAACTGCCCGACAAAGGAGGGCAGTTGAAAAAGACCGAGGGCTTCTGCAAATGATAATGCCCTCAAAAATAGCATTACCGTTATTATTGCTAAAATACATGGAATTTGTGTTGAAAAGAAAAAGGAAACAATGAAGGAATTTGACTGTAAGTTTACCCAAATCAACTTCTGACGGGCTTGACTGCCCGAATGCAATTACGTCATCGAACAATTCAAGTGACGTCACAACAGAAAGTGACGATATTCGACCTTGGCCTTTGACAAGACCATAGCCTGCAACATGTCAAACTATGACAGTGTTCGGTTTTGGTCCATCAACAGTCTTAATAGTGCAATTGTTGGGTTAGCAGCAACAAGAAAGCCAATATTACAGCTATTTAAAGCGTGAATTTGGGTTGCTTTGACTTGTTTGACCCAGAATATCTGCCAGTCGAAAGCCAATTAATGTCGAACTATGACGTCACTTAACAACAGAACTGATAGTGGCCCGTCGTTAAGGTTGAGCGGTCCAATATCATTTGCAACGGACCGCAAATTTCTGATAATGGGAGGGCCGTTTCATGATAATTCCATTTATTTTAGCTATAATAACTGATAATCCCATGAGTTCATTATTCGGTGTCATATCGTCCAGCTTAAAGCTAGTTAAAAACAACACAAAACATTTGAAGTAAATTTAGATAATATACTGGAGTCGAAAAAAAGAAACTTCACAAAATGTAATTTGAAAAATTTGAATAATATTTCTCTGATGATACATCTATGTATCCGAAATGGGATCCCTATCTTTCTACTCTAGAAAAACGTTAGCAAAAACCACTCAAACCCATCCATTCCTCGTGCAAATGACGTTAGTGCCAAATCAGGTTTTGCACGTGCAGTCGATCACGTGATCATCGCGTGTTTGCATTGATGCACGTAATGCACGTGTTTGCATTGGCCTCAAGAATTGAAAAACACTTTTAAACCACAGTTCTAACGGTACTTGAAATGCCACGATTGTCAAATGTGCAACGTGAACGTGCCATTGGCATGTTGCAAGCGGGAAGATCAGTTATTGATGACGCAAGAGCAATGGGATGCAGCCGTCGTACTGTGTATGACTTGCGAGGTCGTCTACAACAAACTGGCACCACTTGTGATCGCCCAAGGTCGGGTCGTCCACGTGTGATGTCAGAAGACCGTCAAATCGTCCTACGTCACCTACGTGACAGATTTCTGCCGGCTACACGAACCAGGGCTGAGATGTTTTAGAGGTCGACTGTCCTCACAGACCATTCGAAATCGGTTTGCGGGCTGCCAATCTCCATTCCCGACGTCCATATCGTGGGCCAATATTGACGCTGTATCATCAGCGTCAACGTCTGCTGTGGGCCTAACGTCACCTCCGATGGACCCAGAGAGACTGGAATCGAGGCGTCTTTAGTGATGAATCAGGTTTATCCTCAGATTCGGGGACGGCAGGCATAGAGTCTGGAGACGACGTCGTCAATTGTATGCCCAATGTTGTGTACAGGAAGTCGACAGATTTGGGGGCGGAAGTTGCATGGCGTGGGACGCTTTCTGTAGGAACAATTGTTCCCGACTTCTGGTCATTCGTGTCCTCCGCATGGCTATGAGTACGTGCTGCATCATTTGTGAATCCCGCACTGGCAGACAGGGCCACAACAAAGCAGCGGATATGCAAAAAGGAAAATCGGGTCCTGGTGTTAAAAGGTCTGATAAAAGGTCTTGGTGCCAACAAGACAGAGAGAGGTCAATTGTTAAGATATCCAAAGTTGCTCCAGTTGTTGAAAGCATCAATGATAACGTTGTCTCAATGACAAAATCTGCTGACTATCACACAAGTCACAGACAGAGATCATCTTTGGATGACATCAAGGAGATACTGTCTGTCCTGCAGGCCAGTAACCCATGGAAAGTTACTCCTGGTAGGCAACTGAAAGGTTTCCAAGGAATTAGTCAGTCCCCATTTTCCTTCAACGTGCAACAGATGAGAAACAGCATCAGACTAATGTGGACCGTCTGAAAGGGGAGTTGTCTTTCTGCCTGATGATGATGACGTGGAGGAAAACTGACTGTAAATAAGGGAATGAAACTTAGACACTATCACAGTTCACACAATATTCTTAGATTCCATGTGAACAGGTTCACTCAAACTTGTAGTTAGTGAAAGTAAAGCCACTTAAGGATTCATGTTGCTCAAGTGACTGTGCCAGTGAAATCAAGCTTTACTTTTCTGTGTGTAACATTAGAACCTTAAATATTCTTTGTGGTGATATAACGGGCAAGGACTGTACTGTGTTATCACATTGGTCAGGATTAAAGGACAGGTGACAATATTTGTATGATTAACATTTGTTATTTCAATGTAAAGAGTTATGATAAATGATAACAGAAAAGGCCAATTAACCATAATAAGTATAAAAATTTAATTCTTGGACTTTGAGACAATCTCCATCATTCATTATGATCATGTGACATGTACATATGTTAAGAGAAAACAATTGATACTACTGTGGGATGACATGTAATTTTGTCATGGAAGTAATTGCAACCCCATATTTATATATATATATATATATATATATATATATATATATATATATATATATATATATATATATATATATATCATAAAACCCGTAAAGTGTAAGGCACAAGATTAGTTTTTTGCACAGTGTACTTATATAACCTCACCTAAAAGGATCTTAGATTGGGAAAATTTCCAACGTGATATAAAACTCTGGTTGCAATTACTTTCATGCAAAACTATAGTATTGAAATATTCATCAATTGTTTGACAGAGCATTATGATGGAAATATATATTTTCTAGTCTCTTACATTTGTTGACACACTTATTTGTAATATGATCACACATGATGATTGGTTCTGTATATAGTCAGTTTGATAAGCCTATACCACAAAATAATGACACTGATGGGCTAAAGATAACTATATTAAAAGTTAGAACAAATTCAGCGATAGTTATTCATGCTGGGTCCTATGGACTTTAAGCCACCAAGTCCTCTATCTCAGATCCTGAGTCACTTCCCATTATGTCTAGGCAATTATTCAGTAAATAAGTGTTCCGTGGGACGCCCTGACGAAGCATAATAATGCACCCTTCTAAATGTAGTTGCGAACAATACTCCGGAACTCACAGGGAGATTCATCACTGTCAGCATGGTTAATGTAAGCAGCCCCTTTTACAGAATCCGCAGGTACCTCTACATTACATTTGTGGAGGCCATACTCGTTCTGTGTAGTAGAACACCCAGTCAAGTTATATAATCACAAATTTCACATTCCTGTCTTAGTTGTCCTGCAGTTAATGCAACAATCAGCAGCTGGGTTATCCGAAAACATGACTGAATCGAAACCAAAATATGAAACAAGCTGTAACCTCAAGCAAGTGGTCCTGTTTGTGCAGTACTTGATCATTGCCTCCTGACATATCCTCACGATTCTTTGCAATGTCATTCTTGTTGTAAAAATAGTTGGGCACTGGACTTTTGCCGTCTCGTCCTGCCCGACCTATTTCCTGGAAATACTTCTCAAGGTTTGTAGGGGTTGAAAATGGATTACACGTCGTATGCTAGGTGCATTCAGACCCATGCCTAAGAGCAACAGTGGCCAGGACCAACCTAATTTTTGGTTTGTATTTCCTCAGTTCAGACACAATGTGTGTTTTTCATTTCATCTGTGTATGCCTTGTGGTACTGAGCAAAAATCCGGTTTTCTGGAATTGGTGATTCTTTAGGAATGTATGCCTTTTCCTTTAGATGTCTTGCTACGTACTGATAGCAATATCCCAGTGCCTCATCATTGTTGATGTAAACAACTGTAAGAGGGAACTCAGCCAGACGATCACACAGGTCTTCGTAGCAAGTGGTTGAATTAGGTTGTCTAATTTTTCTTGTTTCCTGATATTTGGCAGACGAGTTTGAATCTGAAAAAATCAGGTCAGATATAACAACTATCACAATCTTACTTGTAATAGTCTAAACTTTGTATAACTGATCTTTCACATAATATGTGGTTGCTAACATTCAGGTGAATCATGCTTCATCAAAGCAAGTAATGTTCAGATAAAAACTAATTATATGGTTGGATATTTCTTCCATAACTTCCAAAAACATACATTATGTTCATGCTTATATTAAAATAACATACAGAAATAATGCATGTCCTACATACATTGTATTAATGTTGGGACTGGTGTCTGGGCATACATAACCATCAGAGTATCAAGTATAATGATTTTGAAAAAACATACCTCCAGAAAAAAATGTTCACCCGATCAGGGTTTTATTCTGATCGTCTTAAAGTCGACAATCTGATGATCTGCAACAAGTTCTTTAATGGCTTGAGGGGTAGCAGTTGCAGTCAGTGCCAGATGAGCCTTCTTGCAGGTCACGGAAAGAGGCGAGTAGTTACGAAATGGACTGTGCATAGACTTGGCATGTTTTTCATAATAAACACTTTCTCATCCATACCGAGTATAGATCTATTCTAGCACCATGACATTTTGTTAATTCAGATGAATAAGACCTCCAACCAAAAAAATGATATCTGTAATATGCAATTTACTAGAGTTTCTCAAACAATTATGTACTCCTACCCTTTAAGATGAGGTAGAAGACAATGAGCCATGGCTACACATATTTAGACACATTAAGAATCTTATTAACATTTAAGTTAACGTTGATCTACAGTATGTCTTTAAAGGTTCAGTAAAAAGAGAACCCCAGGTTTAGTCAATATAAAATGACAACTTTTCATCATCTCAGTCTTTAGTCAAATTGTACTATTACTTGCACCAATATGGGAAATAATCTGAACTATTTGCACATCAGCTTCTTTGTGCATTTAGAAGGTGAGAATGATCTTAAACATGTTAAAGATCTAACACATATACTTAAACATGTACTTTTCCAGTGTCAACTTTGGCACTGTCAGCTCTTCAGAGAGTTATGAATTTTATTTGTGTGAAAACTATCTGATATATGTTGTTGAACTGGAAACTGAAGCTGCTTTCATATGAATTTGGAAAGGAATGAAGCAAGAATTTGGAATCACCATGCAATGTATAAATAACATGTATGTGAGTCAAATCTGGCTTGTAACTGTATGTATGTAGTTAGTGTTTGTCTTCTAAATACTTCAACATATATACAAGTAATAACATGAAGTAACCAAGCCATTTTACTCTTAAATATTGACTTGATGATGATGCTGTATTCACAGGTACTGCTGGCAAGACATACAAGATGATCTCACGCCAGATTGATGTGGAGACGCTAGAAGAAGAGGACGACAATGATCAAGACGAAGTTGATGCAACTGAAAATGACATTCATGCACCAACTTATGTCAAGATGAAGAAAGAACTGCAGCAGGGACAATTCAACATCATCTATGCTCATCCAGAGACTCTTCTAAACAACAAGACAGTTGGACGTCTACTCAGATCTCCACTTTTCCAAGAAAAAGTCTGCGCTGTTGTTGTTGATGAAGTGCACATGATATCCGAATGGTGAGCATGAACATGAAAAATTCAGGCTTGTATCAATCAGGAAGAATTGTATCTTGAGCATGGTCGAAATACAAACCATCACTTGTATATGATACTGAGTTAGCATGTAAAAAATATTTGCTTTATGATTCTAAAGTACATGTGGGGTGGTGGGGTAGCCTAGTGTTAAAGCATTCGCTACTCATGCTGAACACCCGGGTTCGATTCCCAACATGGGTACAGTGTGTGAAGCCAATTTCTGGTGTCCCTGCAGTGATTTTGCTGAAATAGTGCTACACATAGCATAAAATTAAACTCACTCACTTCGTTATTCCAAATGAATTATCTAAACTTCTTTTGTGTGCATTCTATATCAGTATGAGCACTTTTGACTGGCAGTGAATTCTTGGCAGTGGTTGATGTATAGAAGGATATTGCCTCGAAGGCATCACATATAGTCAATCATATCCTTCAAACATAACAAAAGATAATATTTATCTCTGACTGATAAGCAGAAAGATTTAACTTCGAAGTGAACAAACTTTGACCATCTATCATGTAATTATAAATGTCTTGGTAAGTCCCAAAATATTGGTAAAACAATGATTATCAGACAAACAAATGATACCAAAGGCATTGTATACCATGTTATGGAAATGCCTATATGTCCTGTTTCATTTCTACAGGGGCCAAAATTCAGAACAGCATTCAAAAATTATCAGAGGTTATCTGCATTTTTTCAAATGCTGCTCATCTGGCACTGACTGCAACTGCTAACCCTCAAGCCATTAAAGAACTTGTTGCAGATCTTCAGATTGTCGACTTTAAGACGATCAGAATAAACCCTGATCGGGTGAACATTTTTCTGGAGGTATGTTTTTTTCAAAATCATTATACTTGATACTCTGATGGTTATGTACGCCCAGACACCAGTCCCAACATTAATACAATGTATGTAGGACATGCATTATTTCTGTATGTCATTTTAATATAAGCATGAACATAATGTATGTTTTGGAAGTTATGGAAGAAATATCCAACCATATAATTAGTTTTTATCTGAACATTACTTGCTTTGATGAAGCATGATTCACCTGAATGTTAGCAACCACATATTATGTGAAAGATCAGTTATACAAAGTTTAGACTAATACAAAGTAAGATTGTGATGGTTTGTTATATCTGGACCTGATTTTTTCAGATTCAAACTCGTCTGCCAAATATCAGGAAACAAGAAAAATTAGACAACCTAATTCAACCACTTGCTGAAGACCTGTGTGATCGTCTGGCTGGAGTTCCCTCTTACAGTTGTTTACATCAACAATGATGAGGCACTGGGATATTGCTATCAGTACGTAGCAAGACATCTAAAGGAAAAGGCATACATTCCTAAAGAATCACCAATTCCAGAAAACCGGATTTTTGCTCAGTACCACAAGGCATACACAGATGAAATGAAAACACACATTGTGTCTGAACTGAGGAAATACAAACCAAAAATTAGGTTGGTCCTGGCCACTGTTGCCTTAGGCATGGGTCTGAATGCACCTAGCATACGACGTGTAATCCATTTTCAACCCCCTACAACCCTTGAGAAGTATTTCCAGGAAATAGGTCGGGCAGGACGAGACGGCAAAAAGTCCAGTGCCCAACTATTTTACAACAAGAATGACATTGCAAAGAATCGTGAGGATATGTCAGAGGCAATGATCAAGTACTGCACAAACAGGACCACTTGCTTGAGGTTACAGCTTGTTTCATATTTTGGTTTCGATTCAGTCATGTTTTCGGATAACCCAGCTGATTGTTGCATTAACTGCAGGACAACTAAGACAGGAATGTGAAATTTGTGATTATATAACTTGACTGGGTGTTCTACTACACAGAACGAGTATGGCCTCACAAATGTAATGTAGAGGTACCTGCGGATTCTGTAAAAAGGGGCTGCTTACACTAACCATGCTGACAGTGATGAATCTCCCTGTGAGTTCCGAGTATTGTTCGCAACTACATTTAGAAGGGTGCATTATTATACTTCGTCAGGCGTCCCACGGAACACTTATTTACTGAATAATTGCCTAGACATAATGGGAAGTGACTCAGGATCTGAGATAGAGGACTCGGTGGCTTAAAGTCCATAGGACCCAGCATGAGTGAGTGAGTGAGTTAAGATTTAAAGTCACATCGGCAATATTTCAGCCATATCGTGACTAAAACTAGTTTTAGATTTGTAATACATACATATAATATATTAAACCCTGTCAACGAAGGACAGTAAAACCACTAGATTATCACAGATTGAGTTAAAACTAGCTAACATATATCTTTAAAAGTAGAAAATTATTTCTGGACAATACAATGTAAAATTGGGCTATAGATCGCCAACAACTGAAGGTAGATCACCATACTAGGGACCATGGGGACTTACAGTACCTTTGCTACCTGCATGGACCCTAGCTGGATTGACACCATCCCTTCAGCCATTGGCGTTTATACCGAGAATTAGCCATACATTAAAATGACAAAAATACTACGATTAAAACACCTGGTATACTTAAATTTACTTGAAATGTTTTGGGACTTACGTACCCTCTCAGGAGGACAATAATTTTACGCTACTTCAACACCCCTTGAGGGTACAGCCACTAACAATCTAAGTTACTAATCAAATCTACCAAAACTTAAAATACAGATATGTACAGAACATATTATTCAAAATTCATTCATTAAGTCAATTTCTTTTAAAAAGCCAATAATTAAATGAGAATTAACAGTGTTAAAAAGATCCTTAACTGTTTTCACATTGAAGTATTTATCCCTTATGATGGAGAATTCAACACAGTCAAGCAGGACATGCTTGACCGTGGTCTCTCTCATCACAAAGGGATACAAAACGGAGGATCCTCACCTTTTAATAGGTACTCATGAGTATATCTTGTGTGGCCAATACGACAACGTCGTATAATGACCTCTTCAAATCTGGACTGACAACCCAAGTAGGTGTAACCAATATAGGGTTTTATTTCATGTAATTTATTGATACCTACTTGGGTGTCCACTTCCTTTGCATCAGATCACGGATATAAGATCTTATAGCAGCTTTGTAATCAGAGTATGGGAGCAAAAGTGGTGTCACAGATTTGTTGAGTGCTGCCTTAGCAGCAATATCAGCCATTGTGTTCCCAGAAATGCCAACGTGGCTGGGTAACCAACAAAAGACGATGTCGCATTGGCCAGTAGCAAGCTCATTATACAATTCAATAATTTCTAATAAAAGTGGATGTTTGCAAGAAAGATTTTTTATAGCCTGGAGACACGAAAGAGAATCAGAAAAGATGATGTATTGTTTAGATTTACGGTGTTTATTAATATATGTAAGAGCGGTTAAGATGGCGTTAGCTTCTGCTGTGAAAATAGAGCCGTTATTTGGTAATCGAGAAGAGATTGTTCTGGATCCAATGACAGTGGCACATGCCACTGCGCCACCGTCCTTGGACCCATCTGTAAATAAGGATTTATATGTATTATATTTACTTTTTAATTGATTATATTCTTGTTTATACTGTAATTCGTTAGTTTCTGATTTTTTAAACTTTGTCAGGGTTAGGTCAACTTCAGGCCTCACCAGTTGCCAAGGAGGAGAAGAAAGAAGACGGGAAGGAGATATATTTTCCAGCTCAATGCCGGCAGCAGAAAGAAAGGGCTTAATTCTTAAACCAAGAGGCGGAACAAGAGAAGGCTTTTTGTTGTACAACTCCTCATAAGAAGGATTGAAAACACATTTAAATGCAGGATTAGACTCATTAGAATATAGTTTTGTGATATACTGTAAAGATAGTTTGATACGACGTTGGGTAAGGGATGGCTCATCAGCCTCAACAGAGAGACTATGAATAGGAGAGGTTCTAAAAGACCCAAGACAAAGTCTTAGGCCTTGGTGGTGGACAGAATCAAGTAGTTTTAGGTTGCTTTTGCAGGCTCCACCATATACGATGGAGCCATAATCAAGTTTCGAGCGGACCAATGATCGATATAGGTGGAGGAGGGTAGCTTGATCCCCTCCCCACTTTGAATTAGACACGACTTTCAACAAGTCAAGTGCCTTCAGGCATTTATTCTTTAGGTATTTAATATGTGGTAAGAAAGTCAGATGAGAGTCAAAAATAAGTCCTAAAAACTTGGCCTCCTTTGACAACTTTGATGGGTGTGCCATTTAAAAATAGGTCTGGGTCTTTGTGCGGTTTATATTTTCTACAGAAATGTATACAATTGGTTTTGGATTGAGAAATTTTAAAACCGTTTTCAAGACACCATTTATGAATTTTTATTGAGACACAACTGCAATTGCCGTTCAATGAAGTATGCATATTTTACCACGACAAGAAATGTTAAAATCATCCACGAAAAGTGATCCATCGACTGAATCATTTAAAACCCCTTTCAAGGCTGTTTATTTTAATACTAAATAATGTTACAGACAAAATACTGCCTTGTGGGACACCTGATCCTGATTATAATGATCAGACAGGGTTGAGCCCACTCGGACTTGAAATTGCCTGTCAGTTAAAACTGAGATATAAAAGTGGGTAAACGACCTCTCAAATTCCAGAAGTCATGCAAATCGTTTAAAATACCATGTTTCCATGTGGTATCGTAAGCTTTTCCAGGTCGAAAAGATTGATACAGCATGTTAGTTATTACAATGGAACTTTTAACAAATGATTCCAAAGCAGACCAAATGGTCAATAGTACTCCTATTCTTTCGAAAACCACACTGAATGTTCGTGATAAGATTATTGGTTTCTAAAACCATACCAGTCGATTATTGACCATGCGTTCCATGGTTTACAAACGCAGCTTGTCAATGAAATTGGTCTATAGTTAGATGGATCAGTATGATCCCACGGCCAGGCTTAGGTATAGGGACAACAATGGCATTACGCCATGAAGGAGGAAAATGTCCAGTTGTCCAAATAGTATCAAAAATACTTAAAAGTGTTTTCAAGACATGAGTTGGGTAAATGTTTTTAGAAGCTGATAGTGTGGATATTATCAGCTCCTGTTGCTGTATCATGTGCTTGGTACTAAGGCAGTGTTAAGCTCATGTGGTGAGAAACACTTCATTGTAGTCTTCACCATTGTCAAGAATTAAAATTAAAGATTAATTTTCATTTTTCTTGTTGATTTTTATATTTCTGAAATTGAGGGATTATAATTTGATGAAGAGGAGAATGTGCAGCTAAAAGTTTCACCCAACCCTATTGGCAATGTCAGATTTATTAGTTATTATATTGGGTCCATCCTTCTAGGTGAGTGAACACTAGATTTGGTACCTTTACCCCTTGATTCTCTGTATCATGTTCCACACCTTCGTCATAGGTGTACGGGAATTTATCTTTGATACAAAGTTCTTCCAAGACTGTCGCCTATGTTTTGCTTTAAAAAGTACGCATGAGCCTTGGCACTATGTATTTTAACATCATTTAAATTGTAGAACAGTAGGATGACGGCGAAAATATTTCTCTGCCTTCTTCCTACACTTCCCTGGCCTTTTGCAATCATCAGTAAACCATGGTTTACAGAATGTGTGATGTCGGAGAGGACTTAGGAATAGTTTCATCAACTATTTGATTCAGTTTATCCGAGAATAACTGAATAGGATCCATATCATTGACAAAATAGACAGATTTTAATTCGTCAGTACAAGAGTATCTTAAATAAAGGCCAGTTAGCCTTATTAAAATTCCACCTCGTTGCAGGCGGCTCATCAGTCGGATTTATTGCAGAGAATTGTGGGGAAATGGTCGCTTCCACAAAAGATCATCATGGACTGACCATTCAAACTCATTATAAATATTTGGATCTGAGAGCGATAAATCAAGTTCAGAATATGTTCCCGTACCGGGATGTAAATATGTGGCTGATCCATTTATTAAATATGCATAAATTATTATCTCCAATGAAGTCCTCAAGGAGTTTTCCCCCTAAATTGGCATTAATACTTCCCCATAGAGGGTTATGCCCATTTAGATCACCATGATGATGACAGGGTCTAGGGAGCTGGTCAAAAAGAGTCCCGAAGATCAAGGTTTGCTGAAGGGAGAAGATGGAGAAATATACAAGGAGCAAAGAGTAAAAAGTTATGTGTAAAGACAAAAGGAACTGCCACAGCTTGAAGTTTGCAATTCAGAGGGACAGGGCTATGGATGACACCCTGCCTCCACCAAAATAGAAGCGCCACCGGTAGCTTTATTTCCTGGAGGTGAAAACGAATGATATGAATGATGGTACTGGCGAATATCAAGTTTATCTTCATCATTTTTTAGATGATATGTTTCCTGTAAACTAAAAGCCGATGGTTTGAAATCTTGTGATAACAATTGTAAGATCAAGGAAAAATTGTTCCTAAGTCCTCTACAATTCCATTGTATTAAATTAATAGAACTGCTCATGGGGGTTCGATTGGAGATCGAGAGCTCGGAGAAGTGCCACTCCTACAAGCTGTTTGTGAAAGGTGATCTCCATGTCAAGTGATTCAAACAAATTGTGAACCACCACAGGTGTTGCTGAAGGGGAAGATTCTTCCAAATGTTGAAGAGAGCCTTCGTTTTCTTCTCATTTTTTTTTTTCTTTTCTTTTAGCAGTTAAGGTTAATCATTCTGTGTAATTGCTGGTGAGGATACGGTGTCAGTTCTTGGCTCTATACTGGATTTTCAGTTTGAAGCTGAAGAGATGTTACCCGGTAATGATTGTTTTTCTAATTTCCTCAAATATTTGCTGCTTGTCATTTTACCCAAGATATATCCGTTTGGCAGGATGTGGAAACTATTTACAGGTTTGTAACCAATACTTGAGTAGGAGAAGAAACTGCAGCTGAATAAGAAAGAGAGGTATTCAGGTTTGATTGAACTAATTTCTTTTGCATCAAAATACGACATGTGTTTTGTGCATTTGAGTTTCATTATTTTGGACTCAATTTCGAAGATGGGCAAGATTTTGATGATGCCATATGGTCACCATTGCAGTTGGCACACTTCATGTCATTTATTGCAGTCCAGTGCTCGCATGAGGCCACTGCAACGAGAACATTTGTTTTGCCATGGCAGGACTTAGCACCATGTCCAATTTTTGACACTGAAAACAACGTAGTGGATTTGGTACATATACATCCCACTCCGATGTTGCAGTAGCCAGCTTTAATTGATTTTGGAAGAGTCGTCATTCCAAAGTAAACAGATACGTATTTGTGTTCACGGTGCCTGAATCTTGTTTCCTTGTAAAGCGTTTGACAGCAGTGACCCCTTGATCTTTTTTAGTTCATCTGCAATCTCTTCTTCTGACATATCAGACAAAGAGCGTGACCAATCTCTGACGATGCCTCTACAGGAGTTCAATGTCCTGTGTGCTGAAACAACAACCTGTGTGTTAACAAACTGCCGTAGACCCAGCAGATTTACAGATTGTTGCCTCCAACACATTCCACTAAAAAGTGAACCACATCTGAGGCGAGTGACATTTTTTTAACCTCTCCGCAGACACCTTGGATGCCTTTGGAGATGGCAAAGGGTTAAGTTTGAAAGGACTTCCGTCCGCAGCTGCAATAACCAAAGTATTGAGGCCAGAAATCACCAGACTGAGATACTTCTTCATCCTCAGAAGAAGAAGATGTCTTCTTTTATTTCCTTTAACTGAACCAGAGGGTTGTGAGCCATGGTATAGTGATGTGTTTCATCAACCCTGCTCCCCACCCGCCATCGAGTGTCAACATGGACGATGTTGCAGTGGAAACCATCCTGCAACACCAGGGCTACAAGGGTGATATACTCCCAGAAATACAGACGTGAATAGCTAAGAAATCTGAAAGACGAAATGCTAGGCTGGTTCCACCTAGAAATGTCTTGAGAAAGTCAGAATTCAGAGGTCCAATATCACCAGATTGGCCCATGAGCCACCGCCTTCTGGCATAGGACTCCTAGGCAATTTAAAGCAATAAAAGTTCAATCACAGTAGATCCAAAATCCAAGGCCCAATGATAATATTATAATGTGCAATATAGTCACCGCACAGGGCTTGGCGTGACCAGCCGATTGATGGAACCGGGCCAGTTCCACCACCCGTCTAGGTGAAGTAAAGGGGCGAAGTGGTGTGTTGGGCAAAGGAACACGGTTCCAGGCTCCTAGTGCCCTCAACCACCAGCCTCCCGTCCTCCACCGACACAGGGGCGCAACCACGGCAAACGGGTTGGTGGACCAAATATCCCCCCAGGTCCACAACGGGGTCGAAGGGCGCTTAGCGTGACCCAGCACCCACCACGACGAGGAGGTGGCCTTCATGGAGTGCCGGACCCAGCATGAATAACTATCGCTGAATTTGTTCTAACTTTAATATAGTTATCTTTAGCCCATCAGTGTCATTATTTTGTGGTATAGGCTTATCAAACTGACTATATACAGAACCAATCATCATGTGTGATCATATTACAAATAAGTGTGTCAACAAATGTAAGAGACTAGAAAATATATATTTCCATCATAATGCTCTGTCAAACAATTGATGAATATTTCAATACTATAGTTTTGCATGAAAGTAATTGCAGCCAGAGTTTTATATCACACGTTGGAAATTTTCCCAATCTAAGATCCTTTTAGGTGAGGTTATATAAAGTACACTGTGCAAAAAACTAATCTTGTGCCTTACACTTTACGGGTTTTATGATATATATATATATATATATATATATATATATATAAGGGCAAATCCGACCTTTGGGCGACAGTACTATAAGCTGCGACCTTTGGGCGACATTGCCATATATTACAAACGTATTACATTGATTTTTATATTTCTTCGGTTATATACACTATAATTTGATAATTAAACATTAAAAGGGATAAAACCTTGTACATATATACAAATAGAGAATATATTTTTGATGTCGCCCATACCGTGTCGCCCAAAGGTAAAGTGTACGGCGTACATGTATATATGCAACCTTTAGGCGACTGTCGCCCAAAGGTCGTATATATATGTCGCCCAATGGTCGCTTATGTAATATACATATATATATGTCGCCCAACGGTTTGCTGTTTAATACTATATACATGTATACATTTCCATGGCTGCTTATTTGATATATATGTCGCCCTTTGGTTGTTTCTGTGTTTCAATGTCTTGCGCGCCGAGGAAATTATATTTCATATCTGTGTGCATGAAACTGACTTTCTTGTTTCCGATCTTTAACATCGCACGTACAATCAATTCATAGTTTTGTGCTTAATTATCTCAAATATGATGCTGTCAAACAAAATCCAGGCTAGTTAGAATTAATACTGAGATTATGATTACTTGTAATATTTCTAAAAATATTATGCTGTAACAGACATTTATAATTTGGCATAACTTACAATTATTATTGTTTCCCACTCAAGCGCCGATGTGCCCTTGCTTCATATTAATTAGTGTCCGTTGTTTACCATTCGAGGGTTTGCAAAGGATTAAGTTTTAAGGATATGTTAAGATTAACCAACAACTAAATATCAAATATTCCCATACTCAAACACTGAAAACCTCTATAGGAAATAGAGTAAAATTGAGTAAAATTAATAAACCGGATTGCACAGTCAGATATGAAAACGTCTTTTAACGAGATAAAGTAACAACATCACTAACGTTCGTCATCAAATATGGATTTGTTGAAACTAATTCTAATGACTGATCACAATGAAGAGATAGAGCGAAAGTTGATGAAGTCTGAATACCATCTAACCACAGCCCATTTTGGAGCCAATCGGGACTATTCTCGTTCTCTTATCATACACTGGGGCATACCAGACGACTCCTGAATAAACTGGGGGCTCCGACACTGTGATTTTCCAAATGTCTGGTCTGAAAACCATTTAAACACAGCCTATTTTGAGCCAGTCAGGATTATTCCCGTATTCTTATCATACACTGGGGCATACCAGATGACTCCTGAATAAACTGCATGGGGGCCCCGACACTGATATTTGCCAAATGTCTGGTCTGAATACCATTTAAACACAGCCTATTTTTTGAGCCAGTCGGGACTATTCCGTATTCTTATCATACACTGGAGGCATACCAGACGACTCCTGAATAAACGAGGGGCTCCCGACACGGATATTTGCCTGTTGTCTGGTCTGAATACCATCTAAATACAGCCCATTTTGAGCCAGTCAGGGTTATTCCCGTATTCTTATCATACACTGGGGCATACCAGACGACTCCTGAATAAACTGGGGGCTCCGACACTGATATTTGCCAAATGTCTGGTTTGAATACCATTTAAACACAGCCTATTTTCAGCTAGTCGGGACTATTCCCGTATTCTTATCATACACTGGGGCATACCAGACGACTCCTGAATAAACGAGGGCCCCGACACTGATATTTGCCTGTTGTCTGGTCTGAATACCATCTAAACACAGCCCATTTGAGCCAGTCGGGATTATTCCCGTATTCTTATCATACACTGAGGCATACCAGACGACTCCTGAATAAACTAAGGGTTCCGACACGGATATTTTGCCTAATTTCAGGTCTAAATACCATTTAAACACAGCTCATTTTGAGCCAGTCAGGAGTATTCTCGTTCTCCTATCATACACTGAGGCATACCAGACGACTCCTGAATAAACTAGAGCTCCGACACTGATATTTGCCTGACGTCTGGTCTGGTCTGAATACCATTTAAACGCAGCCCATTTTGAGCCTTTCAGGACTATTCCAGTATTCTTATCATACACTGAGGCATACCAGACGACACCTGAATAAACTGGGGCTCCGACACGGATATTTGCCTGATGTCTGGTCTGGTCTGAATTCCATCTAAATACAGCCCATTTTGAGCCAGTCGGGAGTATTCCGGTTCTCCTATCATACACTGAGGCATACCAGACGACTCCTGAATAAACTAGGGCTCCGACACTGATATTTGCCTGATGTCTGGTCTGAATACCATTTAAACGCAGCCCATTTTGAGCCTTTCAGGACTATTCCAGTATTCTTATCATACACTGGGAGGCATACCAGACGACACCTGAATAAACTGGGGCTCCGACACGGATATTTGCCTGATGTCTGGTCTGAATACCATCTAAATACAGCCCATTTTGAGCCAGTCAGGGAGTATTCCGGTTCTCCTATCATACACTGAGGGCATACCAGACGACTCCTGAATAAACTAGGGCTCCGACACTGATATTTGCCTGATGTCTGGTCTGAATACCATTTAAACGCAGCCCATTTTTGAGTCATTCAGGACTATTCAAAGTATTCTTATCATACACTGAGGCATACCAGACGACTCCTGAATAAACTGGGGCTCCGACACGGATATTTGCCTGATGTCTGGTCTGAATACCATCTAAATACAGCCCATTTTGAGCCAGTCAGGGGTATTCCGGTTCTCCTATCATACACTTAGGCATACCAGACGACTCCTGAATAAACTGGGGCTCCGACACGGATATTTGCCAAATGTCTGGTCTAAATGCCACCTAACCAAAGCCCATTGTGAGCCAGTCGGGACTATTCCCGTATTCTTATCATACACTGAGGCATACCAGACGACACCTGAATAAACTTGGGCTCCGACACTGATATTTGCCTGATATTTGGTCTGAATACCATTTAAACGCAGCCCATTTTGAGCCATTCAGGACTATTCCAGTATTCTTATCATACACTGAGGCATACCAGACGACTCCTGAATAAACTGGGGCTCCGACACCGATATTTGCCTGATGTCTGGTCTGAATACCATCTAAACACAGCCCATCACCGCACTGGATCCACAAGTGCTACCCACCCCATACCCCTATTTTTCCAAATCAGCTTCGGAGACTCCACCATGGAAAATGGAGCCACATTCCACCCCAGTGCGAACCAATGATAGGAACAAGAAAAAATTGTAAGTTTAATAATTACTATTTATTAAACCAAATAGTTTTGACATTCTTATTTGCATAACTTTGCAAAAAATTGTAATTGTGGCATTTACACTTCTCTGATCGAGACCTTGACTAACATTTGTCAGGTTAAATTGCTAACAATGTTGTTCTGTGATAAGGTGTTTCACCTTTAGAGGGTTGGTTCAAATCACACAAGGGATTCACTCCACCCTCTACCAGCAAAGTACTAGTATCTGTACTATACTGGAAAAGTGAATTCCCAAATGTAACATCCCTTAGAAATGATCTGAATATTTATTAAGTTAATTTCATTCTTAAAATGTGTGCCATCTCTTCCTTGTCCTTTGCTGCTGTATTTTCTGCTTGTTCATCATTTTTTTCTCAGCTGAACATAAGAGCATTCGTGCTTGGAAATCTGTAGAAATGACTGAATGGTCTCCGTTTCTGAAATATAACAAAGTTTTCAAAATTATGCTAAAACATCAAAGGTACAGTGAAAGTATCATCACTCAGCTTCTAGTCCTATAGTCTTTACCCAACTCCCCAACTTAAGGTTTTATTAGGACAAGTAAACATTTGCCATTTTAAGATTTAGCTAATTTGTTATCATTATGAGGGACTTGTGGCCTAAATATACAATTCACGCTTTGCTATGAATTAAATCATTGATTCAACAGAAAACTATAATGTGGGATCAAATTTGGTTTAAATATCTAAGCTTATTGTAAGCATGGATCCTAGGTTTCAGTATGTCATTTCATCTTGTGGATCCCATACCTGCTATTGACAGGTGTTGTTTGTTTTGTAAATGACTCGTTCCATGATTTGCAAAATGGTTGATTGGTGCCATTAAAACCATTTTTATGGTTAACCATGTATCAAGTGCATAAGGTTAGACTAAAGTAGCTGTTTGCCTAAAGAAGGGTTACTATAGTATTATTTATCAGTTTTAAATGTATACAATTTCAAATTATAAATCTATGTGTAAAGTATAGTTGGGAATTTTATGTGATCCTTAGCAAAGTGTGTGGTAGTATATGTTAGTTTCTAATCAATGCAATATACAATATAACAATCTATAGTGTGTTGTCTTAAGGTCTACTGGTGATATATATGATGTGTTGCCCTAAGGTCTACTGGTGATATATATGATGTGTTGCCCTAAGGTCTACTGGTGATATATAAGATGTGTTGCCCTAAGGTCTACTGGTGATATATAAGATGCGTTGCCCTAAGGTCTACTGGTGATATATAAGATGTGTTGCCCTAAGGTCTACTGGTGATATATATGATGTGTTGCCCTAAGGTCTACTGGTGATATATAAGATGTGTTGCCCTAAGGTCTAATGGTGATATATAAGATGCGTTGCCCTTAGGTCTACTGGGGACATATAAGATGTGTTGACCACAGGTCTACTGATTGTATGATGTCTTGCCCTAAGGTCTACTGGTGATATATATCATGTGTTGCCTAAGGTCTACTGGTAATATATATGATGTGTTGCCCTCAGGTCTATGGGTGATATATAAGATACATTGCCCTAAGGTCTACTGGTGATATATAAGATGTTTTGCCCTAAGGTCTACTGGTGATATATAAGATGTGTTGCCCACAGGTCTACTGGGGATATATAACATGTGTTGACCACAGTTCTACTGATTGTATGATGTCTTGCCCTAAGGTCTACTGGTGATATATATCATGTGTTGCCTAAGGTCTACTGGGGACATATAACATGTATTGACCACAGGTAAACTGATTGTATGATGTGTTGCCCTAAGGTCTACTGGTGATATATAAGATGTGTTGTCTTAAGGTCTACTGGTGATATATAAGATGTGTTGCCCTAAGGTCTACTGGTGATATATAAGATGTGTTGCCCTAAGGTATACTGGTGATATATAAGATGTGTTGCCCTAAGGTCTACTGGTAATATATATGATGTGTTGCCCTAAGGTCTACTGGTGATATATAAGATGTGTTGGCCAAAGGTCTACTGATTGTATGATGTGTTGCCCAAAGGTCTACTGGTGATATATATGATGTATTGCCCTAAGGTCTCCTGGTAATATATATGATGTGTTGCCCTAAGGTCTACTGGTAATACATAAGATGTGTTGCCCAAAGGTCTAATGGTGATATATAAGATGTGTTGCCTTAAGGTCTACTGGTGATATATAAGATGTGTTGCCCTAAGGTCTACTGGTAATATATATGATGTGTTGCCCTAAGGTATACTGGTAATACATATGATTTGTTGCCCACAGGTCTACTGGTGATATATAAGATGTGTTGCCCTAAGGTCTACTGGTGATATATAAGATGTGTTGCCCTAAGGTCTACTGGTGATATATAGGATGTGTTGCCCTAAGGTATACTGGTAATACATATGATTCGTTGCCCTAAGGTCTACTGATAATACATAAGATGTGTTGCCCTAAGGTCTACTGGTAATACATAAGATGTGTTGCCCTAAGGTCTACTGGTAATATATATGATGTGCTGCCCCAAGGTTTACTGGGGATATATAAGATGTGTTGCCCAAAGGTCTACTGGTGACATATATGATGTGTTGACTTAAGGTCTACTGGTGATATATAGGATGTGTTGCCCTAAGGTCTACTGGTGATATATATCATGTGTTGCCTAAGGTCTACTGGGGACATATAACATGTATTGACCACGGGTAAACTGATTGTATGATGTGTTGCCCTAAGGTCTACTGGTGATATATATCATGTGTTGCCTAAGGTCTACTAGTAATATATATGATGTGTTGCCCTAAGGTCTACTGGTGATATATAAGATGTGTTGTCTTAAGGTCTACTGGTGATATATAAGATGTGTTGCCCTAAGGTCTACTGGTGATATATAAGATGTGTTGCCCTAAGGTCTACTGGTGATATATAAGATGTGTTGCCCTAAGGTCTCCTGGTAATATATATGATGTGTTGCCCTAAGGTCTACTGGTGGTATATAAGATGTGTTGCCATAAGGTCTACTGGTGATATATAAGATGTGTTGCTCTAAGGTCTACTGGTGATATATATGATGTGTTGCCCTAAGGTCTACTGGTGATATATAAGATGTGTTGGCCAAAGGTCTACTGATTGTATGATGTGTTGCCCAAAGGTCTACTGGTGATATATATGATGTATTGCCCTAAGGTCTACTGGTGATATATGTGTTGCCAACGGGTCTACTGGTAATATATATGATGTGTTGCCCTAAGGTCTACTGGTAATACATAAGATGTGTTGCCCAAAGGTCTAATGGTGATATATAAGATGTGTTGCCCTAAGGTCTACTGGTGATATATAAGATGTGTTGCCCTAAGGTCTACTGGTAATATATATGATGTGTTGCCCTAAGGTCTACTGGTGGTATATAAGATGTGTTGCCATAAGGTCTACTGGTGATATATAAGATGTGTTGCTCTAAGGTCTACTGGTGATATATATGATGTGTTGCCCTAAGGTCTACTGGTGATATATAAGATGTGTTGGCCAAAGGTCTACTGACTGTATGATGTGTTGCCCAAAGGTCTACTGGTGATATATATGATGTATTGCCCTAAGGTCTACTGGTGATATATGTGTTGCCCACAGGTCTACTGGTAATATATATGATGTGTTGCCCTAAGGTCTACTGGTAATACATAAGATGTGTTGCCCAAAGGTCTAATGGTGATATATAAGATGTGTTGCCCTAAGGTCTACTGGTGATATATAAGATGTGTTGCCCTAAGGTCTACTGGTAATATATATGATGTGTTGCCCTAAGGTATACTGGTAATACATATGATTCGTTGCCCACAGGTCTACTGGTCATATATAAGATGTGTTGCCCTAAGGTCTACTGGTGATATATAAGATGTGTTGCCCTAAGGTCTACTGGTGATATATAAGATGTGTTGACCAAAGTCTACTCGTGATATATAAGATGTGTTGCACACAGGTCTACTGTTGATATATATGATGTGTTGCCCTAAGGTCTACTGATTATATGATGTGTTGCCCACAGGTCTATTGAAAATATATGATGTGTTGCCCAAAGGTCAGCTGATAACAGATATGATGTGTTGCCCAAAGGTCCTCTGATAAGGTCTGATGTGAATATATATGTGTTGCCCAATGGTCTGTAAAAATAACAGATTGGATGTGTTGGCCAAAGGTACGTAAAAATAATAGATGGGATGTGTTGCCCAATGGGCTGTGATTATAACAGATATGATGTGTTACCCAACATTCTGCTGAATATTAATACATATATATATATAGAAGTTGCCCGATGGTCAACAAGATACATCCTATTCATCATCAACACAGACCTTTAGACCACACATCCTAGTTGCATACAATGGAATTTAGCTTGATTGATTTACTAATGACCTGCCAGGGATATCATAAAGCAGTCGAGATAAACACATTCTTGACTTTGTATCATGATATATGTTATTGGTGTTCACTATCTTGATATCTAGAAAGACACTACTAAAAACTGGTGGTACCTTTTGACTTCAAGTCATCTGCTGATGAACAGTATATCCACCTTTACATGTCAGTACTTTCTCACAGATACTACATCTGAATCCTGAAAAGATAAACAAATAAAATGTATCTGCTATCATGGAATAGAGGTGTCTTCAGTTCTCATTTGCTGAATTTCCTGTGTATGAAAGACACCAAAACATTAATGCAAATGTATCAACAATTACATGAATCATTTGATAACAACCCATTTAAACACCTGATACAATTATGTAAAACAAATTTAATTGAGAACCCACCCATCCCCCCCCCCAACCCACCCAAAGTGATATAAAAAAAATGGTGTCAGAACTTTAATACACCTGATTATCCGATGGAAGATTGAAAGTTTGACAACAGACAAACAACAAAATGTAGGGAATATGTTAATTTGTATACTCTGTATTGAAAAATGCCAATCCTTTCTGAATTGTGTGCACTACGAAACACGACACGCATCAGCTCTCTATAAAACTGTGGTAAGATATGAATACATAGTAACCTAAAAGTGAAAATGATATCTCTATTATAAAAGATATGATTATTGCAGGGATAAATTTTTGAATTGCAAATGTTTGGACATCAATCAAGTGCAAAAGTCAATAGAAAAGCTTCAAAATGTTGAAAATTACCCTATTGATATTTGAAAAGAGCAAATTATGCCAATTTTCAAAATTTCTACATTTTCTGTAAAGATTTCCATGATCAGAACCACAATACTTGTCTGGAACTGCTTGTTATGAGAGTATATACAGTTTTTTTTCTTTAAATTTTTCATATATGTCATCAGAGACAGACTATCTGTATATAAGGCTATTCCATGTCTATTAATTAATCTCTTATTGGCCATTTTGAATTGCTTGATACTTTTATGAATAGTAAAAGATCCTGTATTGAGATAATACCTAAAACATGTATTGCTGCACTCGGTAATTGATCGGCACACAACCATTCAAGATAACTGTACTAATATTGAGAAGGATTAAACAAATTGCAAAGATTCATGAGGCATTACTTCATCGGTATTGCAAGTTTGTGGTGCCGAATTCTAAAGGTAGGCCAGAACAATGTTTAGGTTAGGAATGCCACGATACATCGATACTTTTTCTAAGATGATACAATCATTGATGCATTCAAAACTCTATCGATATTTAGTTTTGAAAGTATTGATTTAAACATGTTTTAATATGTATCGTTCACATTTTGCAATTGTATCACGTTTTTATGTTATAGGAGTTATAAATGATTATTTTTCATACACAAAGATGGGAAATTAGAACTTTTAATCTCTGAGAATAGAAAACGTGGATCTTTTTCAAGGACGCTTATAAAATATAAAATATTTAATGTTCAAAATGTAACTAATATTACACAATAATGCAGCGAAAGTAGGTATCATGATACATATCGAGATCATGTCATGAGTATCGTGATACGTATCAATTCATGAAACTTATGTATCGGGACATCCCTAGTTAAGGTAGAAATAAATTTAACAAAGCTGTAAAATCTGGTATTCACAACTTAAATCTAGTAACATGAAGGTATTGATCTCTGGATCACATAACCTACCACTTCCTCACTTTGGAATGCCTGAGACTCCCTCGGAGTTCTGCAATTTGAAGATCACATTTCTCCTCTGCCAAGCTCAACGTGTCTTGGTCCCGTTCATAGTTGTCTGTATTATGTAACATTAAAATGTTAACAATATTATTCTCAAAATGATTATGAACTTAAATTCAAAACTGAGCTTAGAAATAATATTTTTCTTCTGAACTGATAAAGTATTTAAAATTCTACATGATTTAGTTATCACCCTAACAACATACATACATTATGAATTTACAATGTTTCATATTCAGAAACCATTGTAAAATAAAATTAACTTACCAGGCATAAACTGGATTGGATAGGATTTCCATGTCCTAACAGGACCATCCGAGACTAGCAATTAGTCTCTGAATATATATAATTTTGATAGAATCAAAATAATCCTTTTAAACTGAAAAGGAGCTCCAGTGAGATTCCTGAAACTAAGTAAATCTAGACTTGCTTAAATTAGGTCTTTATCATTTGCAGAAGGCATAGACGGAAGTAAAAATAATGCAGTTCAGGAACTATGAGACAGGCTAGATCTTTCCTGACTTTTACAGTCTATGTCAACTTTGATCTTGAGTTGAAGGGTGACCAAAGGAAAAAACTTGTGCCATCAAGTCAATTTGATTGGAATTAAAGAATACCCATAATATCATAGTTTCACTTTACTCACACAATATACAAAGTTATGTCTTTCATTCATGGGTTGCTTCTAAGTCATGTTCAGGATTTTGTTAGTCATCCATGCATAAAGGTAAAACTCACAAGTAATACAAAATGTTGATTTCTTTCAGGTTTATTTTTTAATTTACTATTCATAATAATAATCATCGATTCTATGATTTATATCAATACTGTCTGCCCAGTGCTGTTCAGAGATGTTGGTGTTAAGTAGTCGACAATGCAAACTATTAGCCGATGATGGACCAATGATGAATAGCACACTACCTAAAATAGATGCATCAAAGAGGCATTTCTGAAACTGTTATTATGGCTTTGTAAAGGTTACTTACAACAGGAAGAGGCTTTAATTCTTACAATTTGTACTGAAAGAAATGTTAAACTTCACCTCCATTTTTAAAAAGAGAAATAGTTTGTTTAAGAAACACCCGCTTTGAACAAAATTACCCTTTTATGTAATTTGACTGCTAAGGGAACTTAAAAACCATAAAAGACTAATAACATATCCCTGCATAGGAACAGTTGGTCTATTGACCAACCAATAAGTTATAACATGTCTTAATGTGTTTAGTGAGATCCATCCTTGATTTTTCAGTTAATCTTATCCTGTCCACTGGTATTTACCCTCTTTCCTATGTTACACAATGTACAGGATTTAGACTTTGAAATGAGGAAATGTCCCTGCATTAAGCATACAAAGATAAGAGTAGCTGCCATGGAATTATGAAAGCTCAAAAAGGGAATTTTGACTGTATTCATGCACAATATTGAATTAACAGATTCAAGTGCACCAGTGAAGTGGAAAATCTCTAGCATTTGAAACTATATCAAGTTTGGACCAAGTGCAGAAAAATACAACGTAACCAACATTTATGGTTGTCAGTTGAGTAACCTGAGTGGGAGGATGTATTGCCTCATAATGGTATGCTGGCTGAGTGGCAGTGGCATGTGGACAGACATGGTTATAGTCCTGGAGCCAAATGCAAGAAAAGTTTTTATCTTTTTAGGATCTCACAGCATCAGTAAATGTGTTTTCTGGTAATTAGAAATTCTTGTCATAATCAGCCACAAAATGTATCAGGTTACTAAAAACAAACAAAGTTTGACCCAGACAGCTTTTACTTGTAGGTAACAAGGGTGGTAGGCTACAATCTTTGTACTCATATGGAGATAATTATTATTATTAGCATGAAAATGGTGCAACATATACATTTCATCACTATACACTGATATTTTCACTCTGATAGACCAGTGGAGGAGATAGACTGCACATAAACACCCAAAGGAGCAGGGTTCAAAGCAGGAGTACAAAAAGCTATATTTGAAAGTTAGAAACTCTTGATATCAATAATGTAACTGGGAAACACATTATGGTCAAGAGAGCAAATGCATATTTCCTTTGCATGAACAATTTAGGAAATGTGTAGCTGATATAAAAATGTAGTAGTTCAGCTATCAGAGGAAACAGCAAAGAGCAACAATGGAGAGTGCCATTATGAAACTATAACTACAAGTCTTCCTCAACACTGCACTATCAGCTCATTATTTGAGCAAACCCATGTCAATGAGTATTACCCCATGGTCAGAATATGCAGTGTGGGTGATAAAACCGATTGTAATGTGTTATGCTATGTCTACATTTGGCCTATAAGTAATTTTACTGAAATCAAGTCTTACAGATTTGGTTAGTTCCTGAAATTAGTAATGGTTATTGACTGTTTTTGGTGGTTTTATTTATCTATTAGTTGGTAGATATATATTTAAAATAAAGAAAACAATATATCAGTGCAAAAGTCAGTCTGATACCCTGAATATCAGGCGTCAGAATGAGAGATGTTTTGGGTTTTTGCCGCACCGGAACTGCACCTAAAAGTAAAAGGTCAATTTCACCCACTGAGTGAACATAAAATCATACAGCTGTGATTAGCTCTTTCGGTTGTGGATCTACAGTAGTTGGCCATAAGTGAGTCATCAATAGTGAAATTCACATAGATTTTTCATGTTAATTAACTCTTGCAAGAATAATTTTTCATACATTTAGTTTGGGTGGAATTGCTTTCAGCACTTATCTACCAGCTTTGTACACATAATTTCCTTTCAATTTTCCGAGGATTATTAAAGAAGACTGCAACTTCTTAAACAAAATATATTAGACATACCAATCAGGTTTAACATGTCTATGGGATAGATAAAAATAAAGTTGTATTTATGGTGCTTAATCAGGTGTCATTCGATAACTAATCAATGAAAAGATGAAAGAAAATTATGTACACGTAGCTGAAGATGATTTCCAAGATGTTTGCAAACTTCTACTCAATTTATGAAAATTATTCTTGCAACAGTTAATTAACATGCAAGTCTATGGAAATTTCACTAATGATGACTCACTTATAGCCAACTACTGTACCCTGTAGTCTGTGTCACAGTCCCCTGAACCACAATATTATTTTCCCTACTGCCTTGCCCTTTCTGCAATGCTAAAGGCCCTAAATGAAACAAGTCTAGATTTTCTCAAGTTCTGTTTTCCCCAGGGCTCCTTTTCAATTTATAATGCGTTTGTTTGTTGATATAAAAAATCATATTCAGACACTAAGCGATAGTCTAACCCTAGGTGAGGATCAAGAAACAACATGATACGAAAACGTCACAATTGCGATCAAGTTACTAGCAAACAGTTTCTTCCAGTTGAGAAATCTTGGAAATAGATTGTGTCATGGGACAGGCATCGCCTTTGAAACAATTGTACATGCTGCTTTTTTCAACAAAATACTCCGATTACGATACATACCATGCATTTCCCAATGCTTTGTGCTGCCAAGTCACCTCGTGTAGTGCGCGAAAACTGTAGCAAAGGGGATCGATTTGACACAAAACGTGAACGGGCCTTCGTGTGAAACATGAATTCAATTTATTTACAGATTATTACATTGTTATTTTGATCGAAGAATGAAATGTTTTAAGTATTTAAACGTGTTCTTGGTGGCATATTAGTCTTGTCTGTCAGCTCCCACAATATCTACAGACATTATTGAATTATTAGCTAAGTGTTCATTTCGACGTTGCCGCTTTTGAACTTTCACGTTTTTGACGCACTGGGAGCGTGAAGGCAAATCGCCGAAAGGTACTGCGAGCGAAACAGTGATGTTATGCTGAACACTTGACGATGTGTATATTTGAAAAAACTGTACAAAACCTAAGAGTATATATTTAGACAATAATTTCTCCATTGTTTATTTCTGAACATATATCCATGTGTTAGAGAATTTTATAGAAAACCACGTGTCGCCGAAAGGTCGCAGACGTTATATATATGATATTTTTGTTTTTTCAATAACAGCACTGAAATTTTATAAAAATACAAAGAAGCACACCCGAAGGTCCTGAGACGACCCTCTATCCAACCATCTAGTTTGGAATAGTTATTAAGGAAAATGAACATAGTTGTGACATGCAGATATTTAGGCGACAGAAATATATCCTTAGGGCGACAGCTGTCGCCTAAAGGTCACACAAATGTCGCCTTAAAGGTCGACTTTGTCTATATATATATATATATATATAAATATGGGGTTACAATTACTTCCATGACAAATTACATGTCATCCCACAGTAGTATCAATTGTTTCTCTTAACATATGTACATGTCACATGATCATAATGAATGATGGAGATTGTCTCAAAGTCAAGAATTAAATTTTTTATACTTATTATGGTTAATTGGCCTTTTCTGTTATCATTTATCATAACTCTTTACATTGAAATAACAAATGTTAATCATACAAATATTGTCACCTGTCCTTTAATCCTGACCAATGTGATAACACAGTACAGTCCTTGCCCGTTATATCACCACAAAGAATATTTAAAGGTTCTAATGTTACACACAGAAAAAGTAAAGCTTGATTTCACTGGCACAGTCACTTGAGCAACATGAATCCTTAAGTGGCTTTACTTTCACTAACTACAAGTTTGAAGTGAACCTGTTCACATGGAATCTAAGAATAATTGTGTGAACTGTGATAGTGTCTAAGTTTCATTCCCTTATTTACAGTCAGTTTTCCTCCACGTCATCATCATCAGGCAGAAAGACAACTCCCTTTTCAGACGGTCCACATTAGTCTGGATGCTGTTTCTCATCTGTTGCACGTTGAAGGAAAATGGGGACTGACTAATTCCTTGAAACCTTTCAGTTGCCTACCAGGAGTAACTTTCCATGGGTTACTGGCCTGCAGGACAGACAGTATCTCCTTGATGTCATCAAAGATGATCTCTGTCTGTGACTTGTGTGATAGTCAGCAGATTTTGTCATTGAGACAACGTTATCATTGATG